AGAGACAAGAACACAGAGAGGAATAACGAAATGGAAAATCACAAAGAACAAAGAGACACTGAGGCACACAGAGCAGGAAAAAAGACAGAAAATGGCCCAAGAGAGGCAGAAAGGACATGGAAGAAAGAGAAAGGCAAGATATAGAAACAGCAGAAGGGAGGCCAGAAACAGAAAACGTTGAAATGTCAATCCAATCAGAGTTCACAAAGAGGAAAAAAAGAGAGGCAGAACAAGAAATAAGCAAAAGCACATAGCGTGTGACTCAGAGACACAAACGGAAGAGCAGTGAAAGAACAGCCAGATCTAGGAGAGCAAAGACGATCAGTAACACAATGAAGTAGAGAGAGACATCTAAGACAAGACACAGCCCACTCTTATAAAGAAAAAAGAAAATGAGACAAAGATACGTAGAGAAGAAACTAGCAGGAGAATCATAGAAATGGGTTAGACACACTTCAGAGAACAAACACCAAAGACATTCAAGAAGGAAATACACACTTCTGAGTGAAAGATTAGCCAAGGTAGACGTTCAGAGGAGGAGGGTAAGAAGTAGAAGAGACAAGATGCAGTGAGGGGCACCATCGAGAATGAGAAGACAGCAAAAGAAAACCAAAAAGTGCATTAGTAACTGTAATAAGCTATTATCAGTACCAATACTACTTATATTACTATCAGTAATAACAGTGACAACACTCACCGCCAGCAGCACAGATGCTCTTCCGCTTACATACTTTTACCTTAGCAATTTCACATCATCATCTTTCCCCTTTAGAAAATTGACTTGATTTTCACTCCCTTCACAATTGTTATATTGGATTTCCTTTAACACTAAATCTTAACTGCAGACAGATTCTCTCACAAGAGATAAGAAAGGGCCACCCTTTCAGCAAAAAAAACCAAAGACTTTTCATTTTAGATTTCTAGGCGTTGAGGCCTCTAAGAGTGGCAAAGAATCTGTGTGGTAAAGATAAAGAACAGACAAGGTAAGACCGAGTTACCTGTGACACAACTGGCAGTAGTGTCTTTGACTCGGTAACCTGGCACAGCTCGTTTTATTGCACTTGGCTTTCCTGAGCCTCACAGATGTTATGAATATTACAAATCGAAGGCAAGACCCTCCGGCAGCAAAGAGATTACAACTCACTTTATTACAATACTCGCTTTATTGCCGTGTTCTGGAACCAACCCCACAGTATCTGTCAGGTCTGCCTGGACGGGTTACTAGCCGATCATCCTCCCATCTCACACTGAGGCTCTCCCTCCACGTTAACCCACCACATCGCATCTCACAAAAACCTCCAACAAACAGCTACGAGCTCTAAAGTGATCCTCGTGGGATTACACCACCAACAACTTACTTCATTCTGCTCTTCTAAAATGCTAGTGTGCCAGGCATGTTGATCTTCCTTTGATGTGTTCAAATTTCTTGCTCTTTGTACTGTTTTGGGGAAAGATAATGATTTTAGTAGCTATGAGGGGAACAATCAGGAGCTACCAAAAAAAAAAAAAAAAGAATGAGACAGAAACCATATAAATGCCATAGTAACTGAATACTTAACTTCCCAGAATTCTGGGAAGATTCAAATTAATGTGTTACAGATACTATCTCTACAGAGCTTCGAAATGTATAAAGTTGAAGCTTTTAGGTCCTTAGAGGTCAAAGTAGTACAACTTCCTCATTCAGCACAACAGGAAACAATGGCATAAATAGGAAAATGGCTTGCCCCATAATATCCAGTGAGCCACTGCAAACACCACCATTCATCATAGCTCTATTTTTTTAGTCAAACACTAATCTGTACAGTCAGGACTTACTACACTGAACGGTCACCTCCATCTCCCAACCTGCAGCCCCTCATTCAGCCTCTCATCACTGACCTAGAGTATGCAGGGTCTCGCTTCTTTAGATCTCCCTGACGATAGATAACTTTGTGCCATTTCTGGTCAGGTTCCTGTTCACAGTTGTGAGGAACTCTTATGTATCTTCTCAAATTGTTTTGTGTTTTATCCCAAGGATACCCCTAAAGTATGCAGACGATTTGCAAAGTTCTCCAACAGGGCCTCAAGGGAGACTCTGAGGACCAGAGGGTCCAGAATGATCTGCCTATGACCAGTGTCACAGATATGGCAGTTATTGCCCATATTCTCCTAAAAGAACAATGTAGTTATCAGCCTCTACCACAAACTATAGTCCCACCCTAAGCAGAGACAGTTGATAATGATGAAAACAATCTCAGTGGAAAGCTTAAGTGCAATGTATACTGGAAAACAAGATCAGAATTAGAGACAGTATCCTTATTATGCTTTTAGGGACAGCCTACCCACCGGTGATGTTTGCAGGCTGCCTTGAGACTTGACCTTCCTATCTGGGCCCAGGAAAGAATCTTGGCAGAACTTCTTGGCTTAGGGTTGTTGCCCAGTGGTAGTGAGCTTTTCCCTTGGAGGATCCTCATGCCCCATCTCCACCTAGGGATCGTCAAAGGGAACGGGTCACTAACACTGTAAAGCAACAAGCCTCTTCTTTTGAGGAAGATCTGGAGAAGAGAGAAAAGAAAAATAAATTACTAAAATGCAGTATACTGGGAAAGTCTGTCCCATTGAGCAAGTAGTAGTAAAATTTAACTTTGGATCTATATTCTAGCTACCAGCCTAGAAACGTGCAAATTATTTTATTCATTCCAGCTCTATTCCTTGAACTTCCCCTCATCTCCAAGAGCAATTGAGGCCTGGATAATTAGCAAAATTCCCACACTGTGCTTTATTCTATAGTCTCCTTTATTGTGTGGATTATTAATGTTCTTGCGTTTTCATTGTAAAGTATAGTGGAGGGGGTCAAGAAATCAAGGCGTTGAAAATAACAGAAGGAAAAGCTAGTTTGCTCAACCAAGAGCTGTCAAGCCACTTAGAAAAGCTCCAGTATGATCTGGTACTATGAGTTCTGTAAAAGCACTATTTTAAGAACTGAGTGATCTACCTGAAAGTTCCTCTCTCTCACCTAGATTTGTAGCAACCCCCTCTTTTAATTTGTATATTAAGTGATGAGATGCTCGAACTCTGCCAATGTAGACAGAATTATTTTCTACTCAATCCACATGGTACATATCTTGAACAGCAGGAAGTTAAAGACAAAGACAGACAATCCCCCCAACCCAAGTGAGCTCCCCTAACTACCTTTTCATCCTGGTGGCCTGCAAGCTGTCCTCTTAGAGTAGTGGGAGCTTCTCCAGATTCTCAAAAGGAAAGATCTGCTGAGTGTGGAGCTTCTTAGAGTTGCTTGCTGTCCTCAGGTCTCACATTCTCAGAATATCCTTGTGAAGAAAGACAGGGCTCAGTAGGAGAGGATATCACACTACACAGAAAACCTCAACAACAACAAAGTAGGAAGCATTAACCTGAATCATTAGATGCAGGTTTGTCCTCTCTCTTCTCTAGCCTGTATGGTCTCCGTAAGGTCCTGTAACGGCGAGCACTGGCAATCTCACAGAAGGTCAGGCAAGTGTAAAAATAGAACTAAATGAAAATATGGGTCAAACCAATAGCCAACCTTAATGGATGACTAAATTCGTGGCCTAAAG